GAAGAAGAGACTGAGAGCTTTCTGCAGCCGATCAGGCAAAGTCACCACGCTGCCAAGGAGCCAGGAGGAGAGAGCCCACCTGCTCTCGAGTTTGCGGGTAAACACCAAGCTGGACCTCCTCTACTGCCAAGTGCCATCGACAGGGATGGAAGAATGGCAGCAGCTTTTGGAGAAGCTAGAGGAGAAGGAAAACACGATGCTCCCAGTGCCACTTCCCTACCCTCGGCGGCACACTCTGGAGACACAGCTGGGTGAGTTCAACCTGACAGAGACAAAGACCATGTTAGGGTCTTACATCAAAGTGCTCTTTGTCAGGGACCCTTTCCAGAGGCTGATCTCCACGTTTATGCAAGGCACGGGCAGCAGCCCTTCCTTCAGCAGCTTTGTTCAGGACATTTTAGATAGCGGACAGCACAACGCCAGCATGGCTTGGAAACCGCTCGTCAGCCTCTGCCAGCCCTGTCTCATCCAGTATGACTATGTGGTGATGTTTGGCTTCCTCAGGCAGGAGCTGGGTCATCTGCTGCAGCGGGCTGGGCTGCCCACGGACAGCCTCCACCCTGAGTTCACCGATGCCCAAGTGCGGTGGACCTACAGCTGGTTATCAGAGCAGATGTTCAGTGAGCTGTCCCTCCAACAAAAGAAGCAACTATCTCATTTCTACCGCTGGGACCTTGCTGCTTTCCCTTTTTCTAGCAGTTTTCTGTCAGACCTCCTCAGCACCCCGGAGACCTAACAGAAATACCCCAGCTGGAGGGACTGTTTCAGAAAGCGTTAATCCAAATGCAAGCGCTTTGAGATAAACCGTGGGTCATAGACAGGTCCTTGCTCCACTGCTGCATGCAGCACACTGGTCTGGGTCACAGCTCCAAAAGGCACGTCAGAGAGCTGAGATGGACCACTGCCAGGGAATCGAGGCTCTTTACACAGCTGAATTGCATTTAAATATGGCAAGAGAAGGCACTAGGGAAGCACTTGGCATTGGGGCTTGAAAACTGCATGAACTGAACTGTAAACGGGGGTAAACGGCTCTCAGCAAACCCAGCATTTTTGGGTAGGGTGGCTTGGACCTGCTGCAAACCACAGCAGCATCCGCACGTGCTCTGACATTTCATATTCTGAGCTCCCTTGTGGGCCAAGAGGATTGTCAATGGCTTGTTTGTGACAAATCTCCCCCCACAGATACAAGAAGCAACATGTCACCTGGAGTCTGTCTACTCTGCACAAGTAGGTGAGATACAACACAGGGTGGCACACCCTCCTGGGGAGCCACTGGTGATGCTCCCAATCCTTTTGTGCTCAGTGAAGGCCAGGCCAGGCCTGGCCTGACCCATCATTTGATCTTATCTGTTCTGCGTGAAGTGTTCCTGTTTTACCACTCACATCTCCTGCATGTTTAGGCTCAAGAGAGCCCTGGGGATATGACATGATGCTTACTCCATTTGCAAGTTTTGAGTGAGGTTCCCCCCTTTACAGAGATGATTCAAATGAGCCAAGCCTAGCTTTCAGCTCTATGCACTAGCAATGAGACAAGGATATGGCAGTCTGGACCAGGTACCAGCCACACCACACAGAGAGACAGCCTTCCACCTGGCCTCAGCAGCTGGTGGGCCCAGTGGAGGTGGCTAGAAGCATCAAGATGCATCACTTGGCTGCTGTGGAAAACACAATGTGACTACTGTAAGCTCCTTCTGGCAGAGAAGTGTGAGGACTGACTTTGTTTTCTTTCTGACTTGGCTGCCAGCGTGACCAAGTGGAGGCCCAGGCTCCCCAGCTGGCTCACCTTCTGCATCCGGCTCAGTAGCCTGGAGCAACCACACACCCTCTCCCAGCCTTGGCCACTGAGCTGATCTGCCTTGCAGCCTCTGGGAAGGGTCCACCCTTGCCAAACACCAAAAGTTGTCCAGCTTTCAAATCGTGACAAGACCATGGCATACTAGTTTCCAGAATATTTTTAAGCTTTATTTGGCAGTGTTGTGACATTCACAGAGAATTCCACATAGATTGATGTGACAAAGACACCAATTTGACAAGGCTCGTTAAAGAATGATTGTGAAAGCGGTTGATCAGACCTGACCTAAAACAATTACAGAAAATTTGTCCTCCCTCCCTCATCGAGGGACATGCGATTAATAGCTTTAAGACATCAGATCAGATGTCCTCCTTTCACTCTCACAAACTGTCCAGCTACAGCAGTTATTACTTGTGTCGTTATTGTGCGTAATACTTTGCAGTCTAGCAAGATGGCGTAGTTCCTCTTCTGAGGATACAGTTCTGAAAGGAGAGAAGCAGCAAATTTCCAATTATAGGTAACATTAGTCATGCATCCATGCTGTATTTCCCTGAAAAGTACTAGGAAAGGGATATTTTTCTCTTTGTAAGTAGCATTCCCTTCAGCGATTGCAAGCTGAAATCCCCTGCAGCGAGATGTGTGCGAGGAGATCTGACACAGCGCCTAGCAGAGGACAGTGCTGTGCATTCACAACAGGAGAGCTCTTCTCAGGCAGCTTTGTAGTGCAGACCACATTTTAAGTCAGGCTGTCCTACAGCAGTATCATCTCTTCTTGCCACCCCCTGCAGCAGGTCCCAGTCCTTCCCTAAGGTGCCTGGCACTCCGTTCCACGGGAAGGCAATGTATGAAATGTTAAGGCACCGAGAGGTGAAATGAAAATCTCAGCTGCATGTTCCTTAGGGTCCCTGTCTCACCCACAGCCCAGACGGGTATTATAATGATCTCTCTGTAATTTCCTACCAGTCTCCAAGCTTCCCTTTTCCCTACGCCCTCGAAACAAAACAAGTTACTGCAATTACTTTGCAATCTTGATTTTATACCATTGAGTCCCCCTGCCCCTTGGTGTTTTCTGTCATTTACATTCAATTCTAGTGCACCCCAAAAGGAAGGCGTTTCCTCCTTCCATCAGCGAGTGTCTGTGGAAGGGTAATAAGAGGGCCCTGAGCTGGGGTGGGCTTGAGGGCAAGGACTGGTGCCTGAGAAGCAGCGGCTCACTGATGCTGCAGCAAAAATGGCTCCACAGGCTAAGGTCTGCACTGAACCAGACTGCGCTGACCATCACGTGTACAGATAACTTGGCAAATATGCTTCAAATTAACACACAAAGTGAATAACAAAGGAGACTTACATCTAATTTAAAAAATTTCACCTGACCAGGCAGTCACTGTGGCTATGTGAGACACCTCAAACCCATTCTGAAATGATGAAGAAGGTGCTCCCAGACCCACAAGGAATAAAGAGCACTTACTCATCTTGCTAGTGACATCCCCTCACCGCCCAGGACCCTCACAGGGAGCAGGCCTCTCATGAATGCTGGTGGCTTTCCCCTGAGGCAACGCTGGAAGCTCCTTGATACCACACTCTTTGCCTGTAGCTCCCTGTGTTCTGCATTATCACACATTACATTCCCTTTGTACTTCTTCTATGCCTGGTCTGAATGAGTATGTCCAGCAACTCCTCGAGGTGGATGCCGCAGCAACAGTGCTGATACCAATCTACCTTACAGGCTCTGTATTTTGCATCCCTTCGACACCGGAGAACATGAATACACAGCCTCCAATAGCTGTTCTTGCACACAAATAGTCACATTCTCTTCTCCAAGAGGTTTTTTTACATATCGTCAGCTTTCAGGAGAAAACAAAAATGTGTTCTTGCCCAGTACCTCAGAGGTTAAGAAACACCAGTATCATATTTCAATTAAAACAATTACATAGCAAGCCCATCAGGCACAAAATACTTTCTGCAACTCACATATACAAATGCCCTTCTTCTAGATGGTAGAACCATAATATTTTAAACCGAGAAATAAATCTACATGTTTCCAAGCTATATACTCTGGAGTGCTTCAAAATCATATTTCAGACTGTGAATACATTGTTAAATCCTAAGATGGAGGCCAATTTTAAGCAGTTTGTATGTGAGCAAAATTTTATGTTAGGCAATGGAGTTATATCCTCTTGCACCATATTTTTTTGATGGCCCTAGGAGTGCAAAAATGGAAAAAGGACATTTTCATAACGCTGTGGGCCAGAGAAACGGATAAAAGTTCACACATGGTAAGCAGGTACAGTACATGGCTGACATCATCTGGAGATAACATGATGCTACAGTGTTAAATCTGACAGTGGCAAAACCTGTGAATCAGAATGCCCAGCATTAAACCCAACATGAAAAATGCATTCAACTCAGAAGGCATGAGGTCACCACATAGTCAGCACATTTTTAGACAAGTAGTCCCTGTAGCAAAACATACCCATTCTCTTACATTCAGCAAAACTAAGAGTTGTCTTGAAAGAAGGCAGGGCCATAGCATGACAGCAAGGGACTGACCCAAGGGCACCCAGAGCCAACTAATCCCCAGCTGTGCCCATCCTCCTGCTGTCACTTGCCTGGGCTGGTATAAATTGCCTTGGGAACAACGATGAGTAACTTTCTCTGTTACTCCAAGGTGCCTGACGTCCTTTGCTATTTAAAAGATGGGGAAAGATGTAGAGGTGTGGGGTGGGAAAAGGCTGTGTCAAACAAAGTAGCATCTTGCTGGAAGTCCTCTTGGTATCTCTGGTTTTTATCTTTAATCAGAGAAGACAAGGTAGCACATGAAGAATTCATTAAAGCCCCAGTGCAGACAAAGCAATCGTCATTTAACTTAGGATAAATCAGCTATAAAATGATCACATTTTAGGGTTTTCCTCCAAACCACTTTTGTTACATAGGTAAGACCATCTTAGTTAGCTAACATCAGAACTCCTCCTCATCTTCCTCTAGCATATATCTGACTTTGTGTGCAGAGGGGACACAACAGGGTCCAGCCCTCAGCGCCTCTCACACCTTCCCCCACCTCAGCTAGAGGACTGTTTGTCTGGGTTCAATGCCTTTAAGTCCTTCTTGGCATAGCATCACAAGGTCATCCATCTTCTCCCCATAGTAGGAAAAAAAAAACCTAACCAACAACCCTGACATTTCACATTGGCTGGTAATAAGCCTGTCTCCCATCCTTGCAGCAATTTTAAATGAAACCTGTAAGATTTTTCAATTATACCTGGATAACATCACCTTCCACTTACTCTTCATTTAAATTTACATCACAGCTATAATCTGGCAGCAATTCCCTCTCCTGGAGAAAACAATGATTGGACAATTAAGTGTGAAAGCTCCATGAATCAGTGGATGAGCCACATGAACATAGATTATTTTTTTTCCATTATAGTCCTACTGCCTTGTGGTCATTCTGGTGTAAGCTCAGTTTCACGAGGAGGGTTTGCTCCTCAGACTTCCCTTTTACACACGCACAGACCATGGCTTAAAGGTCCCTGGCTCGGCAGAAGGGCACTGTAAAGAGAAAAAAAAGTTAAGTTAGCAACAAACGAGGGTCCTGGCCTGGGTTCAGCATTCCCATTGTGCTCCCTTTGAGGTGGCTGGCTTTGTACCGCTGAAGATCTGAGCTCGCATCCCAGTTCTTCAAAGCACAGAAATGTCTGTCTCATGGTACTTCTGTTACAGGCTGTGCTTGGCTCTAGCTGAAGGCCTGATGGTCACCAGTTTGAGCAAATTCTCAAAACCATTTCTGAGTCCTTCTCCCCAGACAGTGATGCAGGTGAAAAGGATTAAGATATCTAGGTTTTGCTCTTAACCACAATGGGGTTCAAGCTGACAAAGCATGGAGGATGCCCACATGGACAGATAGCTGTGTTTTCTGAGTCACACAGGAATCAGCAGGAGTCTGTGCAGGGACCCACTTCTACACAGCCCTGTCACAGCACTGTAACAGAGGAGGAGCCCATGAAGAGACAGTGACAGGGTTAACTCCTGCACTCCTTCAGATCAAGCCCACAGCCTCTAAGGAGACTCCTATTGTCATAACATTCAGGAGAAATGATCGTTTTCAGTAACACTTTCCTCTCCCTCCCTTCCTGAGGGACGCCACTAAATCACAGAGTGGAGCTGCAAGATATGTTAGTGGTAGTGATCCCCTAAGAGATTATAGTCAGGAGCATCGGGACAAGAAGTCAATGCCTTTGTTCTACAGACAGCTCATGGAGGATGGAGGGATGAACTGCAACTTCATTGATACTGTATGGCAGCCCTTCCTGCAATGGGAGCCCCAGCAATGCTGGTCTGTGGATTTGTCTCATTTGTTGACATGTTAAATGAAGGATAACACCCACAAAATAAAAGCCATCTACTTAAGCAGGGTCACAGCCTCCCCATCCTGCACTAATCCCCAACCATGGCTGATGTGACCAGCACACACACTCCGTGTGGGGTGGGCTGGCTAGGGAGCAAAGTGTGAAACCAGGAGCTGTTACCATTTTGGTGAAGATGTCCACACAAGAATTGCGGATCCTCTCTGGCGTGGCAGGGCTGTCCAGCCTGAATGGTTCCGTCAGACCAGAGTCCTTCCTTGCTGAGTAGATGGCATCTTTAATGGCATAAAACACTGAGGCAGACAGGAACAGAGGTGGCTCTCCCACAGCCTAGACCGAGCACAAGCAAGGGTGAAGCTGCAGCACAAAACAGTCCTGGCTCTGGAAAGACTAATGGGGCTAACAAAGATGAGCAAGCCCTACATGACAATCAGGAATTGTTTGCATTCCTCATTCCTTCTTTGTAACTTCTCAGTCTCCCAGATGTAATCAGGAAGGAAAGACCAAGCCAAAACAGCCTCTTGCCTTCCAGTTGTGAACCTCAGTCTACTAGATGTGATCAGCGAGGAAACATGAAGCTAAAACAGCCTCCAGTCTACCAGGTGTGATCAGTGAGGAAAGACTGAGCTAAAATAACTCCCAGTCCACTTAAAGAAGAGACAGTAGGAAAACACAAGCTTTCTGACACAGCAAGGCTGCTATGAAGGCAAAAGGGACTAACCTGTTCCCATAACCTTTTGGATGGTGCTAAATTGCAGCAAAGGGAATTCAGATAAGGCAGTGGTGAGTTGTCTGGGCAGAGAGTATGATGCTCCATCACTGGAGGCCCTTGCAAACCAGCATTCTCTACGATTACACAAGTGTTATCTAGTACTGAGGTCCCTACCAGCCCCTTTTTTCTTAATAATTCTGTCATCAGCACTAATCACCCAAAAAGTTGTCCTCATTGATGAAGATGTTCCTGTGGATGGAGGGGAAATGGGAAACTGTAAGGAGGCAGACCAGGCATATACAGATAAGGATGATGGGTGGCCTCTCTAAATGCTCTGTTGAACCATAAGTAAAGCAAATCATTGATGCTGTACATCCAGCACTGACTGCAGTGGAAACAGCTGAAGGACACATGGATTAATAATGGACCTTTAAGGGTAACATAAGCACTGTGAAACAAAGAAAGCAAAACATGAAAACTCAGACACAAGATCTTGGTATATCAGATCTGAGGAAATGACACTGCTGGAAATGTTATCCACAGTGGTGGCTGTGGTGCCAGGGAAAGGCAACCAGGGAAAGCTGACATGCAAGGGGAGGCCGGCAGCCTCTGTTACACCAGAACTGGCACAGCAAAGCCACTTCAGTTCTCTCTAATGGACAATCAGGGCAGCACTGTACAGGTTATTTCAGTTCTTCCTAACTATAAAGGATAGTATACGTATTTCTGGTAAGGAACGGGAAAACATCCTGACCCCAGATAAAGCCAGCGTAATACAATTAACTATTCAGACACATGCATCATTACTTTATCACACTCAGCCTCACAGAATTACAGAGAAGTAAGAGGCCTGCGGATCTCGCAGGTGTACCTTGGATGAATAAACCGCCTTGCTGTTTGGACAGTCACGGAGAAGTGAGACATAGAATTCTGTTGGGATGTCTCCAAACGCTGGGATTTTGTACATCCCAGGCCCTCGAGTGTACAAGTTCCCTTCAGGAGAATAGCGCAGTTCCTCCATGGTGAAAAGCCCAAGGCCTTGGACAAATGCCCCTTCTATCTACAAACACATCCAACAAGGTTACGTTTTGTTGTTGTTCTTGTTCTTCTCTGCACAAGAACAAACAGTGATTATTTCCACCATTTTCAGCCCTCCCCTCCTGACTAATTTCCCACTCTTCATCTTTAAACCCTTGTCCTTTCTACCAAGTACAGCTTGGGACCTTTGTACAATTCCTGTGTTCCCATACAGATGTGGCTGCATTTCTCTGGCAGGTGAAGCAATTTACAAATACACGCAAAAGGTATGCTGTACACATAGGACAGGAATTTTCTGATGAAGCAAGGAAAAAAAAAAAAAAAATCAATGCCAAAATATTGATTCTTTACAGGCAGATTAACACTGAATGAGTTGTACTAGCTGATAATTGAAAGGACAAGAAGACTAAAAGGACTGAAGACAATATATATGAAGACAAATTATTTTACACTATTTCAGTATAAATACTTCCCTAAGTACTGCATATTCTCAGGTCCCCAGCACAGACACCTGCAAAACCACTCCCATATCCATTCAAGTACTAACAACTTCTTTGCATAATTGTTCTACTGTAAATTTTAGGAGGGAAAAAAAAAAAAAAAAAGAAGGGGAGCAGCTATGAGAGGAGGATATGCTTGAACAGCCCTACATGAAGAAGCTCTGCTCTCTGTGCTCACAGAGGGATCTGACAGGCAGACCAGTCTAAAGATTTGGCGCAAACTTGCATTAACCCAGCTCTGTGTACTTGTGTTCCTGCAGTCATACAATATCCTTTCTGTCCTGTGCCCCCAGATCCTCTGCAGCAATTCATGGAAGGACACTGGAAATTGAGATCTCTTTGACAGACTCTGTATAGCCCATCTCTCTGCTCCCAGACCCAAACTGATAGGCTGTGAAGACAGAAAGGCTCCTTCTCCCCTTGGCCACTTCCAGAAAGTCTCTTTCAGAAAAAATGTCGCTTTCAAAGAAATTTCATTTTAGATGTAGCAGAGGTCTGCAACTCGTGGTCTCCTGTAAACTCCAAATCCTGCAGCAGTTTCACTGGAGTTACACTTTATCAACATCTAGAGTTAGCAAGGGAGCTAAGATGGCTAGATGGGCGTGTGCAAATGCCTAACAATCCGTCTCTTGGTATATCAAACAACCCTGTGTTACCTTTGTTTGCTGGGAGGTATCACTGTGATTATTACTGCACAAAATACGGAAGTTAGCTTGTCCCTGCCCAAGAAATAGGCAAGCTAAGGGACTGATCCAGCTTCCTATGGAGATTCCTACACAGCAGTAGCTGGAGGACAGAACCTACGACCCTAACTCTTTATTCACAGCAGAATTTTCACTGAATAAAATGGGACATGATCCTGACAGATAGGAGTATAAAATTCAGGTGTAGGATTTTGTCTCGCATGCCACATTGCAGAAAGTAAGCCTGGGATGAATTTGTTCCATCATATTAGTATTATCTGGATTCATTCCTTTAGGCAAGGCAGAGGCTGAAAAGCATCAGTATGGTAGTAACTGGAGAATATCCTGTAATCTTGATATCCAAGACAAAAAAAAAAAAAAACCACAACAGGGTATTTCACTACATAGTTCTGTGCCTATTGCATAGTTAAGTGTAGGTCCAACTGGTTTTCATAGCCTACAATGCCTCACTGGATACCCGAGTTTAAAATGCTCTGTTTGCAAAGGTACAACTTGGAGAGGGGTAATGGCTCATCTAGAAAAGCCTGAGAGTAGTGTGATCGCTTTAACATGGTGGAAATAGCAACACTATTTCACTTACCTGTCCTATATCTATGGCTGGGTTCAGGCTGGTACCAACATCCATTACGATGTCTGTGCGAATGTTCTAAAATGCAGAAATAAAGAATAAATCAGCACAGACCATTGAAAATGGTACACCATAGTCTTGTTCGAGGAGAAGTAATGTAACCAGCCACTTCCCACACTTGGCCACTGTTCAACAATCCATCTCAGCTCAACTCTTCATACTGACTTTTAATCTGAGTTCACCCCTAAAGTAAATCAAAGGAACTCAGTGCAGTTTCCCCCAGAGATCAAATGGACCCAATTTACATCAGTTCCAAGCTGCTAGCGTCACTGCTCTGTACCTGAGCATAACCAACTAGGTCAGATTCTGATGAAAACGTTTTTCTTTTTTCCTTCTTTCTAAAAGTCTCTTCAGTGCTATTTTTAATTATTAACTCAATTCCAGTATGTTGCTGTTCTTTTGCACTAACACAGTGCTGCTATCTCTTACTTAAGCAAATCCAATAACTTTTGCAATCATTCATTAAGCCTCCTAATATCCCCACAGGGTAGATAATTATTGTTTTATTATACTTTACGGATTATTGCACTGTGAACAGAAGAGTTAAGAAATTTACTGAAGGTCACACCAGACCAATGACAGAGCTAGGAAGAGGCTGACACCCAGTATTTGCTCTAACTCCCTGTGAGTGTTTCCTTCACCCAAACACAGAGGGCTATTTCACTGCTGACCCCCTCACCTTGTGGTCACCTGTCAGGCAATCTATCTCAACCTCAGAGCAAGCAACGCCGTAACTGAAGTAGCAGAATGGTTTCCCTTCATTCTTTTCAAAGTCGTAGCCAAGGTCAGGGATTCTTGATACAAAGAAAAAAACCCACCACATTTCATTCCATGAACAGTCAAAATTAATACAAACACATTGCAACTTATTGAAATCCTTATTCATTTTTGTTTCATCTCTTCCATCAAGCCTATTCAGAAATGAAAAGTGTAAACAACTATAAATAGAAATCTCCTAAAGCCACTCTGTATTCCAAGACCTGACTGAAACTATCAAACTATTTTGGCCATCTGTACTTTCACATGAATCTCAGGGCTTATGATTACTATTATGAACTCATTCCCACCAATCCAGTAGCAAATCTTTTGCTTTTAAAGTGTAGTTGAACATTTCTTGGAGGTCATTAAACTTCAGAGCATAATCAAGTTGAACCAGTAAATGGATTAAGCCAAGAACTGATTTTAAGCACAGTTCATGGCAAACTTTGTATCTGGCTACTTATGCTTTATCTGAAAACTTGTTTATTAAAGTACTGAGAGCCACTTGATTCAGAGAAAAACACATTTCAGAGATGCAACAGAAATGAGGTTATATTGTATTTTGGCCCTAAATAGGCTCTTCTCAACATTGTGTTTAGTTTTTTACGTCAACCCCTCTGCCTCAAAGATGATGGATCTCCGTTTTCCTCCAGCAGTAGAGCTAACTAAGAAGAGTGTCTCATTTCAGAACTGCACAGGAACCAGCAAAACTTTAAAGTGGGAGAATGAAATTGGAAACACTGGTATCTGCTCATGCCACAACAGATAGGATACCACTCCAGCCAATTGCCGTAAGTAGCTTTGTCCTCAAGGACAACACCTGCCCCCTTTTTTCCCTGCATGATGGTTCTAGTGCAACACTAAGTCACAAGGCTGACACAGAGCAGAGCCCCAGACAAAGCTCTGATTTCATTTATGCCTCCTCAGACCTAGGTCAGCTAGAGTGACGTTAGATCTACTTCAGATTTACATGATATCTGAACTTGGCCCCAAGAGCTGTGCTCCATCAGGAACCAATTCTTCCCAGCCAGGACAGTGGTAACCTCAGCTTAGCATTTCTAGGCAGGAAAGAGAATCCAGCCCTAAGCAAGAGTAGTGACAGGGTAATGAATAGGGGCTGCAAATCCTCCCAGAATTTCCCTGGATGCAATCCATGCAAGCAAGCAAGACCTGTGCCTCTGCAGGGTGAATATTCGCTCACCTGTAAAATCCTGTGGCCGACAGGCTAACACAGTTCTCATAGGCAGCTTTAATCTGGTAAAGTGAACAAGAGTTTGAAAACAGTAATTGTCCAACCAGTCCCTGCAAAATAGCTATCCCAAACGCATTTCCAGGAAAGCATGAATAGAAGGTGTCCAGTGACAGACAGCTGTCCTGCTACCCAGGACCAGCAGTGCCAAGGGAAACATCATGATGCAGCTGCTTCCCCAAATAGCCCTGTCAGCAGCTACCAAGGGGCAGAACTTGCCCACTGGCAAAGGGATACAACTTGCTGTTGTTTGTTCGGCTCTCAGCTACAAGTTAGACTTTCAACCTCGGAGACAAAGGTTAAACTGACAGTCATCTTGACTTCAGCGAGGCTGGAGGAAATCTTATCCTCACTTCCAAATCACAAAGTCAAAGCTTCTCCCATGAAGAGAAGAGCTTGGATCTGAAAATGGCCCGAGAGCCTTACAGCACATCAATCTCTTATTATTGAGGGTACAGAGATATTGCAGGCAAGGAGCACTACAGGAGGTGGATGGCAGCTCAGCAGAGAGTCATCTTTGTCACAGAATCCCTTCACTACAAATCAGGTTTCGTCCTGTCCAAGACTGCAGCCTGACTAGAAAAATGTATGTAACCACTCAAGACTTTTATTTCGTCAAGTTTGTCGTAGGCAGGCCCCAGGATCTGGAGAAATCTCAGTATTAACGTCATAACTGATGTTTTGAGAATGATCTCTTGCAAGCTGTGGTTACTTCCCTTGCCAGGTTTCCGTTTCACTGTCTTTGCTCAAATATTTGCTAGCGAGGCACAGAAGGCCTGAAGGATATACCTGCATACAGGGTTTGCCAGTTAAAACAGTCTCTGACAATGCCCATTTGTCTCATGACAAACCGCTTACCCAGTCTTCCCAGGATCCTTTGGGATTAGACTGTTTGATCGGCTCAAGTCTTTTTAAGATAGTCTGACATGCATTCTGGAAACAAAGAGAGAGAAGCAATATTTTAAGATTTGAGAAGTCAGCTTATAGTATTAAGAGCCCTATAAGAATCTCAAAGAACCTTTTGTTTAAATCAATATTGCCTTTAGGACTTTGGCATATCATAAAAAAGAACAAAGTTCACTAACAGATGTCTTGGTATATAGGAAGAAATGTTGACTGAAAAGGATTTTAAAGCAGATGGTGTGTGCCGATAGCAGAAGGGAATCCCAAATACAGCACAGAACTTTCTGGACCATGACACAAAATATCAGAAGTCCACCCATTTATACAGTAACTTTATCTGTACCAAGTCATAGCAGGACATCTTAGTATATCTAGAAGATGATCCTATAACAGAAAAAAAAAATATTCTTACCAAAATTCAACCTACTCAGACAAATTGTGCAGAGAATAAAAACAGCCTGACAATTTTACTTTACAAGTTACACCTCCCCTTTCCTTTAAACCTGAGAATGACCAGTAATAAATTTCTTTTTTCAATGGAAAAGTCACACACCCTGCAAATATATGCATTGGTAGCTCCATCATGTCAGAGACAGTCACAACCATGTCATTGTTACAGAAGGATATTTGCTCTCAGTATATTGACACTCAGAGGTCTTTGGTTCTGGAGCACAGCCCACAAACCATCTGCTATTGATATTTGCAGCACAATTATTTGTTATAGATGAGACTGTGTTAATGACTAAGCAGCTAGCTATTTAAAAGGATGCTTTGTTCTGTTCATTTTGAGTAATCACAAACACTCAATTTTAGAACTACAAAAGTACTGAAGGAGAGTTTCAAACAACTTGAAAAAATACAGTCATTCGTCATCTAACACTGCTGGTAGCTATAGCAGGTAAAGAAGTGATGAGATATCCTTATCCTGGAATTGCCTTTGGATGGTTATGTTTTCCTTAAGCAATAGAAAAATACACATCAACTTTTCATCTTCTAGCTTATAACCCAGTAGTTTAAATAACTCAGTTTCCATACATGGACGGCCATTCCATTGATGTCTGCACTGACAGACGCAGCTGTCGGGGAGGTATTTGGGACAGTGTTTGTGCTGGTCTCACTGATGTGAATTTTGGAGGTGGGGATTCCCAGTGACCTGCTAGCAACCTGCAGAGCAAAGGTAAACAATTAGTAAGCAGCTCTTCTTATATGGGAGCTTTATCATTCATTGCTTACACTGCTAGGATCCACACTGCAACCTCTGCCCTCTCCCATCCTAAATTTCATTTTTCTTGAAGACTCAGCTGATTCAGTGAGAGTTAGCCAGAACGTTATTAAATTTGCCCTTCAGAGACTGAATGTGTGCAAGCACGTACACGTACGCTTTTGCCACAATGACAGACATTCAATTCACTATTGTGAGACTAAATTCTTCTCTCAACAATTGTAAGAATTGGAGGATAAAGAGCCCTATTAGATTTCTGTTTCATTTCCCTGCCAAAGCAATGTTGCTCCCTTAGGCCTTTTTAACTACAAAGGCGTTAGCACGTGGAGATAAATGTTTGCAATATGACTAACTTTTTATAAAATATATGTAAACTGCAGTTTTATGGGATGAAATTAAATTGCCAGAGAAGATAGATTGTAAGCATAACCTGCATTATCTACATAATCAGAGTTAAGATGATGAATCTAATTCCCACACTCAATTGTGATAATATTGTGGAAATCTAGCACCACTGCTGAAACAATTAAAAGGAATTAGTCATGATTTGTTACCCTACGCATGCACATAGAAGAAGTGTCAAGCTGTCTGAGGCAATACCATAGAGCGAGTGTAATTTTCCTGAAAAGATGTCTTATTCAGTTAAGTCCAAACTCATTATTACCTGAATCATTTTGGTATGAAGTCCTTGACCCATCTCAGTCCCACCATGTGTAAGTAACACAGAGCCATCTGTATATACATGGAGCAGAGCTCCAGCCTGTAAAAGGGAACGTTAATCCAAGAATTACTGTAAATGAACTAGTGAAGTATTTTGCAGATCTCAGTTAAAAACTACTGAGAGAATTAATTTGGAACTAGATCAAATGTTGTTCTTTGGTGTAATTAAAGCCACTAGTTTACACTTGAGGTGAGTTTGATTTAGTCTCACCAATTCACTAGAAGTTCCAATGACATAACAAACTTCAGTCAGTATTTTCAGCTCAGAAAGCAGGTGAAGTAACCCAAACCTGACCCTATGAAACAGAGATGCACCCTTCATCTGAACTTGCTACCACCACTGACAGTCCATCAAGTCAGGTCAAACACAGGAAGTGTTTCAACTATTGAGGAAGAGGGAATAGGCAGGGAAATTAACATGACACAATACCATGGAAACACAGCTGCATTGTGGTGTCTTTTGGACAGTATAAATTGGTAACTGCCATATTGCTCATTTTGGTTTGAAAAGCGTGTGTTCTTTCTTAACTAATTTACTGCTTCTCTGAATAGCTCCAGTTTGGTACAAACGGAGGAGGGCCTAGGGGAGGCTTCATACATCTAGCTTCTCTGCTGAAAAGACGAATGACACTTACGAACCTGGTTCAGAAATGGAATGGTGAAACTGATGCCAAATTTGGTAGGAATGATGCACATGCCTCTCTTCTTCCAGCGATTCTGCCTGCAAGGAAAGAACATTATTCACATACTCATGAGGCTTTCATTGCAACTCAATACTACGCTTCCTTCCAACAGCTTGGGCATCAAAGTGGAAATTAAATACCTGAATGCGATATAAGCTGAAGTTAATCAGTAGTTTTTATGAAAGATTGGCTTTGGTTTTGGGTCCCGAAGAAGAAATCTGAACTGAAGACACTCCCCCATAGATTATAAAAGCAATTGTCTGGACTATTAACTATCCAGTTGTATATACAAGCCAATTGGAAAAGACCATAAGGCAGTGGAAAGCCTAAACGAATTGCCTTGTTAGCCATTTCGAAAGCCCAGCTGGACCTAACAGACCCCCTCTCCCTTGGTACATTTCCCTTACAAAATCAGGTCATGCTAGGTCTCGTTTGTGACTTATTTAAGCTAACAGCTCATTGATAGAGATTTCTTCCCACAGTGAGGATGAAGTAACTTCAAAAAGAGACATTTTCAGAAGTCACTCTGCAAATACAAGGTCTGACTTCACATGACTCTCACTAAAAGAACTTCAGAAGTTAGTAGGCAACAGGTGCACCCAGTAACAAGACAGCTCCAGAACACCTACTTGTTGAATTCTTCAATTAGTTTCTTCCTGGCATGATAGCTAGAGCTTGACAAACATTCATCCCAGCATCTTCGTAGAGTAAATCCCTCCAGCTTTTGGTTAAAATGAGTCAGATCTCCTTCATGATAAAGATTGAGCTTCCGCACCTTCCCAAAGAGACATATAAAGGACATGTCAAGTTTAATGCTTCAGACTAGGTCTTTTTCATGGATGACATCAAAAGCATGTTGATTCCTAGTTTTACTCCTCTGCTTACTCTACAGAACAATAGGATTAATAGACATATATCTTGTTTATGGGAAAATGGGGACTAAGACATTAAGGCTGGGAATTTTCAAAAGCTTGGGATTTAAGTGCATTGTTAGTAAGATTAAGGTGCCTAGTGCCTTTGGACTTTTTTTTTAATATCTACCCTTCAAGGAGGTGTTACACAATTGAGGCTACTGAGGGAATTTAATGAAGCAGAAGATAATCCATGCTATAATGTGGCTGTCATACAGGAAGTTTGAGATGTTGCTAGTGGCTTAGCAAAAATGGAGCAAAAGTTCTTATACTTATTAATTTTCTGTGGTTCTGCCCAGTTCTCAGTTTGTTCAAAGGCAGCACCACCCTGAAATGTGACAGTGGATCCGTACCTCCTCAGGTGGCAGGCCACACTTCCGAGCAAGGTCGCTCATCCAGCACTCAGCAATCATCATTCCTTGGGGCCCTCCAAAGCCACGGAAGGCTGTGTTGGAAGGCAAGTTGGTCTTGCAAACAATGCCCACGCTGCTGACATTGGGGATGTTGTAGGAGTTATCCAAATGTAACAGGGCTCTGTCTAAAACCTGGTGAAGAGAAGGAATGGGGGTGGACACATTTTACATGAATCATATACCAGACTTCTCTACTAGCTGCCAAAGCCAGGCTGGAAAGCTCTGAAGCTGATTTACAACCACCAGCACTTTCTCTTGCACCCTGCTGGATGAGCATTGAGGTGCAGCTCCACTTGCAATGGAGCATCAAGCAGTTCCTCCTGAAGTGCAGGACAATAAGCACACTTCTCTGTTGATGCTTATGACCCTGGGACAGATTGAGCTTCAAAGTCCTTTGTTGGCCCTGGGCTCATGCTGAGCCAAACTGCTACTAAATGCCATTACCCACCTGGAAAAAACAGAATCTTCTTTTAATTATGCTGAGTAATATCTCATTGGAAAAGAAGGCTTGCTGACATCAAGAGACTCAACAGCCGGGCTATGGCAGTAAGGGCAACTATATGAAATAAAGATTTTCAACAGCTACATCTAAACAGCAAGATCTGAGATCTTTGGCCACTAATTGTCCAAACTGGGAAAGAGCCAGAGCTTCTTTCTGACTTGTGTTCCCAGACTGCCCTTCCAGCAGCAAGGGAGAAGACTACACACATACCAACCTTATTTCAACATGGAGCTCTTCCCAGTCCCCTGGTTCAGACAAAGTAAAAAAGACAATTCACATAAATGTACTCTCAATCAGGCCCTTAGTTTATGCAAAGACACTTGCCTGCCTGCCATTCTGCTCTGCACAGCACCAACCACATTGCTAACATCAAATGCAGCTTTGGTAGGGAGCTCGTGCAGTTCTCTCCCACCAAAATGGATTAATTTTCACAGAAAATTATCAAAGACTCAGTGGACTAGAGAGAGTAAGCTGGAATAAACATGACTGACACTAGGCTATTGGGTTGGTGACTCACATGACAGAAAAGTAGAGGTTTTTAATCATCAGCACAAAAATCCTTGGAGATGAATTCAGAACTCAGGCCCATTCTTGTCCTTAGTGCTTGTGAACCCAATGTTAGCTTTAGACAGCCCTTAACAAGCTTGTTGATTTAGGCACTCTGCCCTGAGCACCGTGTTGACTTGGATATTTCTTATTCCAAGGAACTAGCTTTCCCCAAAGCTGAGGAACTATCAGTCATCTTGCATTGTGCAACAAGTTTCCCATGGTAGCCCTCCGTAATGCAAAGCAAACTTTCTTGACCCTTTTGCCTAATCCAAGTTATTACAGCATCAATAAGAATTATGTGGCACATGCCAAGGCAGGTCAGTTGGCTCAGCGAGCCGTTGTAGAAACTCCAAAAACCCCTCAAGGTCTGTTTTCAGTCATGTCAGAGAGCAGGATGTGCAAGCAGTGCTGTAGACAACAATTCCCTGAAGTCAGAGCAGAAGGCTGCACTGGGAAATGTCTTCAGCCTAGTTAGCCACCAGAAAATTTTACTTACACCGTAAGAGAGGTCTACAGAGTTGCCCCCATTGCTGTAGTATGACACCTCCAGACTCTTGACTTTCCCATTCTTCATGAAACCAACCTGTCAAGAGAGTCGCCTCAGTAACTGGTTTTCTAAAATACACTCTGTTTTGTGCTTCACTCCAAAAACTGAATGGACCTCATAGAGGCAAAAGGCTGACTGTCCTCTGCTGAAGCATAAGACAAGCACAGGCAGCAACTGAGGAAGGTTTCCAGCAAAGGGTCCATGTATGCATCTTAATTTTGCTCCAGAGAACTCTTCTAAAATAAGTGCTAGCCACTTGTCACAGCCACACATTCTTTAACAGGTTTTTGCTTTGAAAAGCAGAAACAGTTGGATGGGAATTGAAGAGTAAAGGAAGTTAACAAAACAAACAGTAGTACAATACTGTAAACAAATGGGGGAGCATCTAAGATCAATGTAATTGCCATCAGGGGTAAAGTCTTTGTTGCAAGGAAAGGGGAAGTATTCATGCTGAGGCCACAAGAAGGGAATCATCTGAGCCAAAAGAACGTCTGCAGAACTTTAACAGGAAAAATGCTATAACTCAGCTGACCTGATCCATTTGTAGCAGGGGAGATCAGCAGTGAAACAGCAGCAATTTTTTCACAGTATCTTACTACTCGCTGATGTTTCAGGTGACAACACTGAGACAGCATGCATTCATTTCGTTTGTAGGCATACCTTGTACCTCCCCAGGAAGGGATGTCTCCCACCACTTATCAGCATGTCCTCATCTCGATCCAGCATGCATCTTACTGGGCAGCCAGTTCTGGTAAAGGATACACATATCAGGCAAAGCCTGAAACGCTCAACACAGTTCCTATAGAGCAAGACTCTCCTCTTTTTGGTGGGCATTATCTTTTCAGAGTGGCAACTGGAAGTTAGGGTTAAACTGCTTGGTTTATATACCTTTCTCTTAAGAAAATTGGCAAGATTGAGTAAAAAAAAATTTTAAATCTTAGAAGTTGGAACCTGTTCATGAAAACTCTTGTGGAGTTATATTAAAAAGGAGGATATTTTCTCACAGAGACACATGCTACAACTGAACAATCACTGATTTTCAGACTTTCTCAAGGCACACTCTTGGCTTTGCAAGAGCGAATGCCCTATGAATTACATAATAACGCTATGTAAAGTACTAAGTAGCCTTCAATTTGACCTTGTTTCTTACTTAGTTATTTATTATCCAAGGAAGAAAACAAGGAAAGGAGGAGTTGTTCTTCATATTCCACAATTCTGCCTTTCCAGTGCCTCTCTTCAGGTTGTAAAAATTTCTATGGAATGCCACAGATGTTATTTCATAACCTCTAGGAAATAAAACAGTGGTTTGGCTGGCAGAGATAAAGGAAAGAAAAAATGCACATATATTACTGATTAATTAGAGAATGTGGTTTGCTCAGAACAGGAAAAATAAAGTTAATTTAAGTACAGGAGCTTCATTTTGGCTGTTCTCTTCCAAAGGTATTTTATCAAATTACTGCTGCATTGCAAGATCCATCTAGCATTGCCAGCAGAGTGCATCCTCACCTACAAGGGCAGCATTGGGAAGGGCAGTGTTACACACAGCACAGAAGTGTCATCTCAGAGGCCATGATCACTCACAACCACAGAAACTTGTACAGTTATAGATGAGCCCATATCAAAATTCCCAAAACCAGAAGCACATTTCCAATCTATGCTTCACAAATGGTTACAGTCTAGGTTCATTCCCTGATCTTTTAGGGGTTTGAAAAGTGTCGGTTTCTGTTGAGTGGCCTGCCGGTCTTCCTAGGGAAAAATCCAGAGAGAGAGTTTGCAGAAGAGCAGGGAAACAGTGGTACAAGGCTGGTGTAGTAGAGTTTTGAGCAAGGAAAAGACACTACAATTCTATTATACAAAACAACAAGCATAGTTAGTGCTGGATTTTGAAAGGGTTTGGGGTGAAGGGGAGAGGCAGATAATTCGAGATACAAGAGTTTTTAGAGAGTACCAAAGGAACAGCAGAGTAAAGGGGCTTTCCCCTTCCTATTAAAAGCTAACATTCCTGCGTAAGCTTAGCCCTCTGAGCAAGTTCAACTCCTCCTACTAGCTAAGAGCACATTAGACACCTCCTTTGGGAAAATCCCAGGCTTGCTATAAGCTGTACGATAACAAGACATGAAGAGTGTTGAAAGTGCTCCAGTGCAATGGTGCTCCAGAAAGAGGCAGGCTGGGACAGTCTGTAAGGAAAAAGCCCTGTTTCCCGCACTCAAACTTACTTGAAGGCTGCGACAGCCACCACAGTTGTCAAAATAGTATTCCTAGTCTCCTTTCCTCCAAATCCTCCTCCCATTCTTTTCACTCGAACCACAACACGATTTGAAGGGACTCCCAATGCATTAGCAGCAAATTCCTAAAGAAAAACGGAACACCAGAACACGTGCGGAGCTGAGCTGGTGTTGAGAACTAGATATCCACACATTGCCTTTCTGCAACCATTGCAAGAGTGCAAATACTCTGTTACACTGCAGGTCCTATTGGTCCTGCAATTGGGTTTGATGCAATTGGAACCAATAAGCCAAGTATTTAATCTCTGAGGTGGGAAGGCACTCAGTGCTTCAGCAGACAGCACCAGATTCAGGAAGAAACTGACATGAGATGAGGTAACCAAGACATAGGTCTCATTTAGCACAGGGTTTGACATCTGTACCACTCTGTCCATTCTCCTCACTCTATCATGAGATCTTTGGACAGTCCTCTTCGTAGCCCTCTGCTGGACTCTCTCCAATAGTTCTCTGTCTCTTGAGCTGGGGAGCCCAGAACTGAATGCAGTACTCCAGATGCGGCCTCACCAGGGCAGAGTAGACATGGAGGATAATCCCTGGTGACAAAGATGTGCTGCCAACAGAAACATCTCTGTCATCTGGAAGTGGATTCAGGACACCAGTAGGATGGATATGGACTTTAGAACCCACACCCAGCTCTAAGCCTACGTGGTTTTTTTATTCAAGACAAGATGGGACCAATGGTAAAACAACCATTTCTCTAGTCTGCAACTGAGAAACAAATGCCTTTTAGGTAGCAGGTCAAGGAGACGGTACCTGTGTCTTCATTAGGTTTTGGGTCGACACAAAGAGTTCCATCTCACCATCTTCCCCCTTTGGCACAGCCACAGTACAGTGAGTTTCCAGATAGAAATGCTCTTGCCCACCAAGGTACATCTCTCCTAGAAAATCGAAAGAAATGCCCCAAAGACAGGGTGTCCCTGGTGTTACAAGGTGTCTCCCATCATGTGCTGCCTGCAATCTACTGCCCTTTTGACATGTGTTAAATGACAATCTTTTGCACTGCCCAGCACTGGATACCCCATGCCCCGCTCCACTTTCTAGAAATCTTCAGTCCAAAACACAAGTGGCTAGCATTTCAAAAATAAGCCCGCACACCATGCCATTGACCCAGCATCCCTTAAGATACAGTGTTTGGTGCCTTTCAGACTGCCCTGATAACACCACTGAGATAAAAATAAATCAAGTATGGTCTAGTCGAGCATGTCAAATACAAGGTTACCCACTTTGAAACAGGGGAACAAAAATAGAAACCCAAAATGCCTTAAGAAGATCTAACTAGGAATCAATTCTCTGTCATTGTATGTGTCTCTTTCCCAGGACATCTTATCTGACAGGGCTGAGGGTACCATTTCCAGTCATGCTACACACTATTAAATGTCAGAATCAACCTCCTCTCAGTCATGGCCCTGGTCTATCCAGCTGCCAGAAAAATTAATATTCAGAGCAGTTCTCAAAATCCTGTTCCTCTCTTCGTTTTATTCAATTCAGCAACAACAAAACAGCTGCCTTCATTAGGTAGATCAGTGAGAAATGCACATTTGTGTGAGACAACGCCTACTCTGATATGTAGCAGGGGCCTTTCTCTTGTTTCCTTGAGGGGGTTGGCCTGGCATTCATGCAATATTACGGCCTTTTAAATAACGTATTCTTCTAGCTCAGAACAATATCTGCCTTGCCTAGCACAGAGTTTTCATTTTGTATAGTATAGTACACTATAAGAAACAGTTAACAATACCTTATGGCACCTTTGAAGTGCCAGCACAAATAGCTGACTGCAGAGGAAAGTCTCAGCAATGCATACCAAAATATAAGAAATTACAGACCTGGAAATGGGTGTTTCAGTTAAATAACCTCCCTTCGCCCAC